TTCCTCCCCAACCCCCCCTTCCTACCCCCCCCAGGCTCTATCTCCCAAATCTCCAGGTATTTCCTGACCCAGAGCTGGCAACCCTAGACTGAAGTATGTTCAAAAAGAATTAAACAAACTTGGGGTACAAGCTAGCCATAGTTAGTTGCTTTTTGGTGTAGTGGTTAAGAGCGTTGTGGACTCTAATCTGGGAGAATCAGGCTTGAATCCCCACTCCTCCACATGCAGCTGCCGGTGTGACCTTGGGTCAGTTACAAGTTCTCTCGGAGCTGTTCTCGCAAGAGCAGTCCTCAAAAGAGCTCTCCCAACACCATCTACGTCAGAGGATATGTGTTGTGGATAGGGGAAGGGAAGGGAAAGGAGACTGTAAACTGTTCTGAGACTCCGAGAGAAGGGCAGGGTATAAATCCCATCTCCTCCTCCTCCTTTGGTGATTTAAACACCTCCTCACACCTTTCTCAAAACCATTTGGAACTGAAAAGCTTTGGACTGGATTATGTTCTTTAATCTCAAAACATATTGAAGAAGTAGGGCTGCCAAATGCAGCCGGGGGGCGGGGATTCCCCCGCTTCGGACCTCCGATTACCGGCGCGCCGGAATCGGGGCCCAGGGGAAACCCCACCCCCACGTGCGCATCACCCAGAAGTGACGTCGCACGCTGGGGGCGGGGCCACGCGATTTGAGGGGGAAACAAAGAGTTTTCCCCTCAAATTGCGCGCGCACACGTGCCCAGGATCGTCCGGGAGCCCCCCGCTCCCGGACAATCTAAATTTGGCAACCCTATGAAGAAGCTGAAAACAGGAATGCAACTGAAAACATTTACATTTTTGAGTTCCTCTCCCCCCTTCCCCCCCGGCCAAACTACAAGTTACATTTTCCCCAGGGATGTCCGTAGACTAGGTGGAGAGACATAGTCTGAAGTTCCATACTTCCCAGGCACATGTGGGCCCAATTTGAAACAGGAGCATTGCTCATGGATAGAGGGAGTTTAGACTTCCCCCCATTCTTGCTAACGTTGCCAACCTCCAGGTGGTGACTGGAGATCTCACACTATTATAACTGATTTCCAGGTGACAGAGATCAATTCTCCTGGAGAAAATGGCTGCTTTGGAAGTTGGACTCTATGGTATTATGCTCGAAACCCCGCTCCCTCAGGCTCCACCCCCAAATTCTCCAGGTATTTCCCAGCCCAGAGCAGGCAACCCTACTTCCAGCATGTACCAGAAGTGACGCCATCATGTTTTTACCATAGAGTTTTTGCCAAATGTCACACCGTTGCCGGGATGTCCCAACGTGATGGCGTCACTTCTGGAGCATGCTGGAAGTGATGTCACCATGTTACCTGTGATGTAGCCTAGGCCTCCCTCCTGCTCCTCGTAAGTCCCCGCCCCATCCCTCACCAGTTGCCAGGAGGGTCCTGGAAACCCTAGGTCAGGTACTGCACCCTAGGCCATCTAGAAAATGGTATGGGGAGGGGGAAGTCTAAGTCCCCCCTTTCTGTGTGCCACACTCTGGATGTGTACCTGTGAAATGTAGAACTTCAGAACAGTCTCTGGGGACACATAGTGTAGCTAGGCCCTAATAGGGTTGCCAGCCTCCAGGTGGGGCCTGGAGATTTCCTGCTTTTACAACTGAGCTCCAGCTGACAAAGAGACAGCTCCCCTGGAGAAGATGGCTGCTTTGAAGGATGGGCTCTTTGGCATTATACCATGCTGAGGCCCCTGGGCTTCCCCAAACCCTGCCCGCTCCCAGATCTACCCCCCAAAGTCTCCAGGCATTGTCCAACCCAGACCTGGAAACCCTAGGCCCTAAATCTCTGTAAAGGTAAAGGTTCCCTTGCTCGAAAGCCAGTCGAATCCGACTCTAGGGTTGCGGCAGAATTTCCCGTTGTTGTATCCTCTAAACTGTTACGTTCGCAATTGTCATCAGCCTCGGCTCTCGAGAAAATAGACAGTGAGAAGATGTATATGTTTTCCTCCTAGGCTTCTTCCCCTCTTTGAAGGAACTCCTTAGCAATGTCGTCTTCCTGATCTTTTTGCTTCTCAATGTCCTACAGTTCAATGCTATGGTTGGCTCAACAACTTATGAACCCAAGTTTATGGAACAGCAATTTAACATATCTGTTTCAAGTGCCATCTTTTTTATTGGTAAGTCAACCTTTTCATTGTTTCCTAGTTCCTGAGGAATTGACTTTGAGGGTGGCGTGGGCGTCCCTGTTTAGAAATCAACCGACAGTTTCATCGATCGTATACCATGGATGCATTCCTTGCATTGTTTTAACCCCGTCCTTCTTTTCATCACGGAGCCCAAGGGGCCATGGGGCTCTCAAGAAATGACCCATCCACACAATGGCCACTAGGGTTGCCACCTCCAGTTTGGTAAATTCCTGGAGATTTGGGGAAGGACCTAGGACATTTTCTGCACAAACGGCTCTCCCTGCTCTTGCACTTCTATTCCTCCATTACTTCAGCTGGTTTCTGCAATGGTATTTGCAGTCCGAGATGCAAAAAACGAGGTTTATCTTCCCTTGCTCCACAGCTTCAGACTTCCCTGTTTCTGGGAATTCTGTTGCTGCGCCTCAAGAGGGAGTAAACCTCATTTTTTCCATCTTGGACTGCAAATACCATTGTGGAAACCAGCTGAAGACATGAAGGAATTGAAATGCAAGAGTGGGGAGAGCCATTTGTGCTGAAAACATCTAGGTAGGACAGAGCTTGGCGAGGGAGCTCAGCAAGGGTTGCCCACCTCCAGGTGGGGGCTGGAGATCTCTTGGAATTACAACTGATCTCCAGACTACATAAACCATGTGTCATGATCTGTGTAGGACTGGGAGACAGGCCTAGTGAGGCCTAGGCCCAGGAGAGACCTGTGTGGAAGTGGAAAGCAGACACAGCCTACAATCCCCACAATGCTTAGCGACAGTTGTAACCAATCGGTGTCCGGGGACTGTATGAGGAAATTGTGACTTAAACCTTGTGGGCTGTGGAACTGTGTTCTTGTCTCTCTCTCTTAACTCTCTCACAGAGTTAAACTGAGGGGACTGCATTCTTTTCTCTCACAGAGGCAAACTGGGAGGACAGAGTTAAGCTGAGAGAAAGATCCCTCACTTGGGACAGAGTGAGTACAGGCACAGGCCTGGTATAAAAGGCGGTGGGCCTTGAATAGTAACCAGTTAAGAGAAATAGGTAGCCACGTTAGATTTGCTTTATTTTACTTTTAGACACTGTTATATATTTTAAGCACCTTGTCTTGTTTTTCCTTGCCCCGTTCCTGTATTAATAAACCATTTGTTTAATGTTCCCTGCCTGGTCATTACGCCTATATTTCTCGGCTTAAAAGGGGCATTTTTGGTTGGGCTTGGGAAGGTACTCTGGGCCATCCCAAGGGTCCCTAAGTCCAGAGTGGTGGCAGATGAAGGTGGCAACCCACTAGGGGTCATGACACCATGTATTATTTATTTAGTTATTTAAAACATTTATTCCCCTTGTCCTAGAGAAAATGGCTGCTTCGGAAGGTCAGCTGCATGGCATTATACCTTACTGGGGTCCCTCCCCTGCCTAAATCCCATTCTCCCAGGCTCCACTCTCAAATCTCCAGGTATTTCCAAACCCGTAGTTGGCAACTCTAAGCTCAGCAGGGATGGGATGTCACAGAGACCAACCTCCAAAGCTGCCATTCCCTCCAGAGGAACTGGATCTCTGTGATTTGGAGAGCAATTGCAATTCTGAAAGAACTCCAGGCACCACCTGGAGGATGGCAACCTGAGACTCAACCCAGGCCTGCTTAAGTGTCAGCAAGGTTGCCGTAGCCTAAGCCTGCAAACCATACCCTAGAACTTAAGTAGGGTGATGATCAGACATGCCAAATGCAGCCCACCAGCCATGTCAGGAGACTCATTCAGGGTTCATCAGGTGTCCTTTATTAATGCCTGTCTAGGTTTTGTAAAAAAAAGGGGGGGGGAATTGCTGCTGTGGAGTCCCTGGCAGGCTACAATACATGGAGTGTGGTTCAGGGAATCACAAGGTGCATAGACCTTTCCTCCAGGTATCAGCTGGGCCAAGCCCCAGTGTTAGGTTTTCCCTTGTATGGCCGTGGCCCTGCCCCCGGCGTGCCCACGTCACTTCCTAGTGACGTGCACGCCGGGGCCCCCGGGGCCCGATTCCACTGCGGCAGAAATCAGGCCTCCAAAGCAGGGATTTCCCCACCAACCGGCCCGATTTGGCAGCCCTACCCGGTGTGCTTCCTGAATTACAACTAGACAGCAACATATGGGAAACATCCCACAGTCGTCGGCAATACGTGCTGCTCCACCGCAGAAGGGGAGTTAAAAGATACCAGGGAAAGTCTGGTAGTAAACGGATTCTGACGGGCCATAGACGGACTTTCCCCTGTCTGATCGCGCAAGCATGCACGCATACCATTGGGATGGTCTGAGTAGGCCATCCCGGCTTGGTGCCATCACCCCCCCTTCACAGTATGCACATCATCGCATTCTCTATAGGGGCCCCTCAGTGCGGAGGTGCAATTCTTCGTTTATGCGCATGGGAAACAAACAGCCAAAAAACCCCGCAACACTGCAGGTGTGTCTGATCACACAGTGACAGGATGCGCCCACTGCTACAAAGGGATGTGTGATCTCGTAACTGCATGTCAAATTCCTCCGGAGGAAATAGCCTCGCTTCCCCTCTGCTTCAACTGGCCCATGTGACCGCAACCCTAGAGAAGCTAACTCCAAGTAGGGAAATTCTGGGAGATATGGGAGTGGATCCAGGGGAGGGTGGAATTTAGGAAGGGGAAGGAGGTCAGCAAGGATGTGGGAGTCCATTCTCTGAACCTGCCATTTTCAAGAAGAAGAAGAAGAAGAAGAAGAAGAAGAAGAGGAGGAGGAGGAGGAGGAGGAGGAGGAGGAGGAGGAGGAGATTGGATTTATACCCCGCCCTTCACTCGGGGTCTCAGAGCAAACAAATGGTTCAGAGAAGAAGGAGAAGGAGAGGAGGAAGAAGAGATTGGATTTATACCCCGCCCTTCACTCGGAGTCTCAGAGCGGCTTACAAACTCCTTTCCCTTCCCCTCCCCACAACAGACACCCTGTGAGGTGGGTGGGGCTGAGAGAACTCTGACACAAACTGCTCTTTCAGGAACAGCTGTGCCAGAGCTTGTGACTGACCCAGGGTCACATCAGCAGGTGCAAGAGGAGTGGGGAATCAAACCCGGTTCTCCCAGATTAGAGAACCAAACAAATGGTCCAGAGAAGAAGGAGGAGGAGGAGGAGAGGAGGAAGAGGAGATTGGATTTATACCCTGCCCTTCACTTGGAGTCTCAGAGCGGCTCACAAACTCCTTTCCCTTCCCCTCCCCACAACAGACACCCTGTGAGGTGGGTGGGGCTGAGAGAACTCTGACACAAACGGCTCTTTCCGGAGCAGCTGTGCCTGAGCTTGTGACTGACCCACGGTCACATCAGCAGGTGCAAGTGGAGGCATGGGGAATCAAACCCGGTTCTCCCAGATTACAGTCCGCTCACTTAACCACGACACCAAGGGAAGCGATCCCTGTCATCTGAAGATCAGTTGGTAGTAGGATCTTGGTAACCCTAGCTGGGGAAGCAGCCAGGATTAAGCAAGGAAGTTCATGTTCATACATCAGTTAAGAATAATGGTGGTTAACAAGCCAACTTCATACCACAGTCTGATGTTCACAGTTGCAGATTATGTATCATATTCTCTGTGTATGTGTGTATAGAGTGCCATCAAGTCACAGCCGACTAATACGATCCTGTCGGATTTTCAAAGCAAGACACATTCAGAGGTGGTTTGCCATTGCCCACCTCTGTGTACCAACCCTAGACTTCCTTGGTGGTCTCCCATCCAAGTACTTGCCAGGGTCGACCTTGCTTAGCTTCTGAGATCTGACGAGATCAGGCTAGCCTGGGCCATCCAGGTCAGAGCATCATCGGCTGCGGTCACACGGAGCAGTAGCCACGCTACAGAGATGGAAGATAGGCAGATTTTCCGGGCACGATCACAGCGCCACATCTGGGAAGCGTAGAGCTCCCGTGGCGAACCCGAGGCTTCCCACCGAAGATGCGGGGTAAAAAAACTAGTACCTCCGAGGTACTAGTTTCCGGAAACCACGGGGCAAGGGCGGGCGCCTGATAGTGTTTCCGGTGTTAGCTCGTGGCATCCGGCGCCCGCCCATGTCCCGTCGCGAAAAGGTTTGTTTTTTTTCTAGTCTCCACGGGATGCGCACAAGCACCCAATGGCGCATGCGCGCACTTTATTTACAAACAAAAAACACAGCCCCCTCCTCTTTTCCGTACCCCCCCACTCCTGGCTTGGCCTGCTCGAGAGGAACTCTCTGCACCGGGCGGCAGAGGGGGAGGTGCAGGGGAGGCATGGCGGGAGGGCAGCCCGGCTGAAGCTCCTCCTGGAGGGGACCGGACGGAGGACACATTGCATTCTTCTGTAGCCCTGGAAGGGGGTAAACCTGGAGCCTTTTGCTACGGAGGCCGCTTCTTTGCTGCTTCTTTGCCGCACCGCAGGATTGTCCTGTGATCGGCACCTCCCCCCTAACCACGGGACCTCGACGGGACCTCCATGGGACGTCTGATCGCGCAGCCACGCGTTATTTTGCTCCGGGGCAAACAGCCACGCTTCCCCCCCGCATTTTCCTGCTCGTGTGACCGGGGCCATCCTATACTAAGAAAACAGTTTGTGATGCCCCTCCCCAGTTTGGTGTAGTGGTTAAGAGCACGGAGCAGGTTTGATTCCCCGCTCCTCCACATGCAGCTGCTGGTGTGACCTTGGGTCAGTCACAGTTCTCTCAGAGCTGTTCTCTCAAGGGCAGTGTTGGAGAGAGCTCTCTCAGCCCCACGTATTTCATAGGGTGTGTCTGTTGTGGGGAGGGGAAGGCAAAAGGAGTTTGTAAGCTGCTCTGAGACTCCTTCGTGTAGTGAAGGGCGGGGTATAAATCCAATCCCCTATTCTTCTTTTGTTTCTGTCTGTGAGAATGTGCTGCTGTTCCTTTTCCTTTGCAGGTGTGGTACTTCTGCCCTTTGCCATTGTGGGTATGTTCTTGGGAAGTCTCCTCATCAAGAGGCTCAAGATGGACGTCAAGGGGATGGCAAAGTTTGCGTGCACCACCTTTGCAGTATCCTACGCTTTAAACCTCTTCTACTTCATGGCCGACTGCGAAGTGCTCCAGGTGGCTGGTTTGACTGTCAACTACTCCGGGTTTGTGATCTTGTTCAGCATGGAGGTTGGTGGTGGGAAGACTCCATCTATAGATCTGAATGTCATGTATGCCTCTCCACCCAAAAATGTCAGGTCCAGGTGGGTAGCCACTAGCCGTGTTGGTCCGAAGCGGTAGAATAAGTTTTGAGACCAGTGGCACCTTTTAAGACCAGCACAGGTTTATTCAGGGTATGAGCTTTCGCATGCTCATGTGCTGCTAATCTCATTCAGTCCTTACGTACGTATTCTCACCAAGAAGGGCCATACATTCCCTGTATTTTAGTGTATTTCTTTTTTGGAATAGAATATTGGAATAGTGAATGTTAATACAATGAATATTGGATCGTATTTCTCTGACATAACACTGCACCCTACCGCTAAGAAAAAGGTGTTGTTAGTTAACTCCATGCCTGAAAGGAGACAAATGGAGTGTAACAAAGTCACAGTTTATTACTCTTAGAAGGATACTTTTGCATATCTATCTCCTATTTTGACATATTTATTACTTCACTGTTTTCCCCCCCAATTAAATCCAAACAAGTGGTGAGCGTATGAACGTAGCTTGTTATTGCTGTTTACTCTTGGCCTATGTCAAAACATCTTTGGCCCCAGTCACACGGAGAATTTGCCGCACGAAAGGCACGAATGTCGGGCGGATTTTCAGGGTGCAATCACACCGCAACATTTGGGAAGTGTAGTGCACCCATGGCGAACCCGTGGCGTCCCGCCGAAGATGCGGAGTTTAAAAGTACCAAGGAAAGTGCACTAGTATCCGGAAAATGCGCGGCACAGGCAGGCATCTGATTGCGGGAGCGCTAGTATCCCGTGGCATCCGGCTAGGGCTGCCAAGTCGCCCTGGGGGGCGGGGAACCCCCCGCCCCAGAGGCCCGTTTTCCGACACCGGGGAATCGGACCCTGGGGGGAACCCCGCCCCGGTGTGCGCGTCACCAGGAAGTGACACTATGACACTGGGCACGCTGGGGGCGGGGCCACGGCCATACAAGGGAAAACTATAGTTTTCCCTTGTATGGTCATGGCCCCGCCCCCAGCGTGCCCGGCGTCATAATGTCACTTCCTAGTAACATGTGCGCACCGGGAGCCGGCCGAGAGTCCCCCGCAGAGGAGGTATGTGCCACTTGGCAACCCTACATCCTGCGCCCGTCCACATCCCGTCGCAAACCGGATGTTTTTCGTAAGTGCATGCGCTTAAACACAAAACTGAAAGCAGTGCTGCTCCGTGGAACTGCGCATGTGCACAAACACAAAATGCTTGTGTGATCACACGGCATTGCTTCTTTGCCACGCTGCAGCAATTGCTGTGTGATCACCAGCTAACAGCCGAAGCACGGAGACTCGGGGGACTGTGTGATGGGCTACCACGCTTTATTTTGCTCCGGGGCTAACAGCCACGCCTCCCTGCCCCCGCTTTATCTGGCCCGTGTGACCGGGGCCTTCATCAAGTTGCATGCTAATTTGCTGCTCACCTATGTTGAGGCATCTGCCTATATATATATATATTCTTAAAGGTGCCACTGTTCACCCAATGATTTTGAGGAACCACCCCCCATATTTTTCAAATGTCTGTTTTTTCTTTAAAGTTGCTGCTTATCCTTGGTTGGCAAAAACTTCTACACTGTTGTGCAGATTGTTTTTCATCCACAAGAAGCGAGTATGGGGGGCACCAGGGCAGGCAGTTTTCGGGCTATAGAGGAAGACCTCCCACCCTTGGGCTCCGGGCTCCTGCTGCTGCTATGTAAAATGAAGGCAAAAGAAGTCTCCACAGAGATCTCAGAAATTCCTAGAGTGTCACTGTGACACTGTGATGTCACTTCTGGGTATGTTGCCAATGGAGATGTCAAACTTCCAGGGGTTCCCAGCAGGTGACTAGCAACCCTAAGTGGCATACATACCATTTAGATGTATCAATGGAATCTATGTATAGATGGAGATGAAATGTCAAAAAACTTAACAGGAAAGAGCGTGCAGGCTCAGACATTGTAAAGCAAGAGTGATTTTTTTGATGCTCAAGATCTCAGGAGCAATTTGGGGGCACCAGAGCAACCCTCAACAACAATGCTGAGCCTCAGGGGTCATTTCCTGCAGGAGCGCACAGGAGCGGAGCTCCGCCAGTAAGGAGCTCAGGGGGTGGGCACTTGCAACAAGCCCCGCCCCCTGCTCCCAGCAGCCCTCAGTCAGGCCACGAGGAGCAAGAAGCAGCCAGGTAAGATGCAGAGCCCCCCCCCCCGCCTTCAGGTACAAGCTCTCCCTCCTCTGTGAAGGCAGATCTGCGTGTCCCCCTCCCCCCAATAGCTAGCAATCCAAAACAGTCCAGTGGAGCCTGAGCAGTGGGTGTTGCCTTCTGACACACTTCCGGTGATGTCAGGGGGTGTGGCATATGCAAATAAGTTATGCTAATGACTTATGCTAATGAGTTCCTGCACCTCTTTTTCTACGAAATGACCCCTGCACACACCCCTTTCATGAAAAGAGTTTGGACCTTTGGCATGCTTACCTGGTCCAGCATCTCCTTTAATGGCGTTAGTAATAGTCACTCTGTCTAGTCCGACAAGTCTTTCAAGAATATCTGTGTCTTGTACCTTCCGAGTACCTTCCGAGTCCTATAAATGATATGGAGGAGCAGGAATCCTCCGCCAGTAATTAATTAAGCTCACCAGAATCTATGCCCCAGCAAGACTTCTGATTGGCCTTTTGGAGATTTGATTGGCTGTGCAGATTTTTTTAAAAAGGTTGCTTTCGCGGAGGCTGCTGTCAGAGCACAAGGATTTTCACTGTGTGACTGAAGGTAAGATGGGGCTGCCATTTTGTGGCTGGGTGCGGCAGCCATTTTGTCTCTGTGCCCCTAATGCTGTGTGAAAGTTCCAAACGTGCCTGAAGGCTCAAAAAGGTGGGGGACCCCTATCTATGCCATTGCCTTAGTGCGGCTGAAATGGATGTGCAATAAATCCAGAAGAAAGAAGTTGCTTTTCTGTGTGACCCATCACTAATTTACCGTACAGTTTTATGGCCTATCAAAGGCAGCTAGCCATAATGGAGCCTTCCTCTTCAGAGGCTGCATACCTCTTGACTTTTACCATCTAAGGAAGCAGCGGACACAGAAAACAAGTTAGTCCACAACTGAGAAGGCTTCCATCGCAGATTCCTTTGTCTCCTTAAGGCGCGTGCTCTGTTTCCTTTAGCATCAAACAGCCATCCTTCGCCGAGGAAAAAATCTGGTCTTCCTGCAATTCTGACTGCAACTGTGAGACTGGCCATTGGGATCCTGTTTGTGGAGACAACGGAATCACCTACATGAGCTCGTGTCTGGCAGGATGCAAAGCTTCGCTGGGGACCGGCAAGAACACGGTGAGAGAGTTGACAATGAGAGGTTTTTCTCCCTCTCCCAAAATACTAGAACGAGGGACATCTAGGGCTGCCAACCTCCAGGCGGCACCTGGAGATCTCCTGCTATTACAATTGATCTCCAGACGACCAAAATCAGTTCCCCGGGAGAAAAGGGGTACTTTGGAAGGTGAACTCTATGGCGTTATACCCTGCTGAGGGCCCTCCCCCTCTCCAACCCCCCCTCCTTAGGCTCCACCCCCCAGATCTCCAGGTATTTCCCAACCCAGAGCTCGCAACCCTCAGGAAGACAAGACAGACAAAAGGATGTACTTCTTTACACAGAGAGTGAATAAAATGTGGGATTCGCTGCCAGAGGGTGCAGTGATGGCCACGGGCATAAACGGCTTAAAGGGGGATTAGATAGATAGGTCTATCAGTGGCTACTAGCTACGGTCACTAAAGAGGGTCTCCACATTCAGAGGCAGTCAGCCTCTCAATCCTAGTGTCAGGAGGCAACATCAGGGGAAGGCCTCGGTCTCTATCCCCTGCTATTGGTCCTTTGGAGGAACTGGTTGGCCACTGTGTGAGTCAGGAGGCTGGACTAGATGGACCACTGGTCTGATCCAGCAGGGCTCTTCTGATGTCCTTAAATGCAGTAACCTATGATTCATGTCGCTGCTTTGCCATCTCCCTCCCTCCCTCCCTCTCTCTCTTTCTCACCACAGTCGAATCTGCATTTGCATTTTTAAGTCAGTTTCGTGCTGTTCTGACGCCGTCTTTGGCCGAATCTTCATTTGTCTTTCCCACTGGTGCCCCAGCCTTTTGACTCCGTCTTCAAAAAGCTGTCTACATTTGGTTTCATTTTCACACCTGAACAGTGCTAGCATACTTTTGCACATCCACATATGTTTATCGTCCTTTCGGGGTGGCTCCACTGTCATTGCACCTCTGCACTGCTTTAAAAGAATCTTCTCCAAACAACATTCAAACAAGCATAGAGAAAGACGCAGCCTGTAGCTAGGATGGGGCAATTGGGGCTCTGACTCCTTC